GTGTGTGTGTGTGTACGTGTGTGTACGTGTGTGTATGTGTGTGTCTGTGTGTGTGTATGTGTGTGTGTGTGCCGAAGCACGCGGAAAGAAGAAACATGCCGGAAGGACCGCATCTTTGCATGCAAATGACTGCAAATGACCAAACTTAAACATGCCACAAGCAAACATGCCGAAGCACGCGGAACGAAGAAACATGCCAGAAGGACCGCGTCTTTGCATGCAAATGACCAAACTTAAACATGCCAAAATCAAACATGCCGAAGCACGTAGAAAGCCGACAGAAGAAAGTACTTAAACATGCCAAAAGCAAACATGCCGAAGCACGCGGAACGAAGAAACATGCCGGAAGGACGAAGAAACATGCCGGAAGGACCACGCCTGCCACACAAAGTGCCGCGGCGTCACAGGCCCCCAAGCCCGTCCAAGCGCGCCACCCAATGCCATCTGTCCCACGCCTGCCACGCAAACCGACAGTAGATGTGAGTTGGTGCCACGCCTGCCACGTGAAACGACAGTAGGTGAACGTTCGTGCCACGCCTGCCACACAACGTGCCGCGGCGTCACAGGCGCCCAAGCCCGTCACAGGCGCCCAAGCCCGTCCAAAGCGCGCCACCCAATGCCATCAGATGTGCGTTTGTGCCACGCCTGCCACGTGAAACGACAGTAGATGTGAGTTTGTGCCACGCCTGCCACGCAAAGTGCCGCGGCGTCACAGTCGCCCAAGCCCGTCCAAGCGCGCCACCCAATGCCATCTGTCCCACGCCTGCCACGCAAAACGAGGTGATGTGAGTTTGTGCCACGCCTGCCACGTGAAACGACAGTAGATGTGAGTTTGTGCCACGCCTGCCACGCAAAGTGCCGCGGCGTCACAGGCGCCCAAGCCCGTCCAAGCGCGCCACCCAATGCCATCTGTCCCACGCCTGCCACGCAAACCGACAGTAGATGTGAGTTGGTGCCACGCCTGCCACGTGAAACGACAGTAGATGTGAGTTTGTGCCACGCCTGCCACACAACGTGCCGCGGCGTCACAGGCGCCCAAGCCCGTCCAAGCGCGCCACCCAATGCCATCTGTCCCACGCCTGCCACGCAAAACGACAGTAGATGTGAGTTTGTGCCACGCCTGCCACGCAAAGTGCCGCGGCGTCACAGGCGCCCAAGCCCGTCCAAGCGCGCCACCCAATGCCATCTGTCCCACGCCTGCCACGCAAACCGACAGTAGATGTGAGTTGGTGCCACGCCTGCCACGTGAAACGACAGTAGATGTGAGTTTGTGCCACGCCTGCCACACAACGTGCCGCGGCGTCACAGGCGCCCAAGCCCGTCCAAGCGCGCCACCCAATGCCATCTGTCCCACGCCTGCCACGCAAAACGACAGTAGATGTGCGTTTGTGCCACGCCTGCCACGTGAAACGACAGTAGATGTGAGTTTGTGCCACGCCTGCCACGCAAAGTGCCGCGGCGTCACAGGCGCCCAAGCCCGTCCAAGCGCGCCACCCAATGCCATCTGTCCCACGCCTGCCACGCAAAACGAGAGTAGATGTGAGTTTGTGCCACGCCTGCCACGTGAAACGACAGTAGATGTGAGTTTGTGCCACGCCTGCCACGCAAAGTGCCGCGGCGTCACAGGCGCCCAAGCCCGTCCAAGCGCGCCACCCAATGCCATCTGTCCCACGCCTGCCACGCAAAACGACAGTAGATGTGAGTTTGTGCCACGCCTGCCACGTGAAACGAAGGTGGATGTGAGTTTGTGACGGTGGATGTGAGTTTGTGTGGTGACAAAGTATGTGTTGACAAAGTGTTTGTTGAGAAAGTGTGTGGTGACAAAGTATGTGTTGACAAAATGTTTGTTGAGAAAGTGTGTGGTGACAAAGTGTGTGTGGACAAAGTGTGTGTGGACAAAGTGTGTGGTGACAAAGTATGTGTTGACAAAGTGTTTGTTGAGAAAGTGTGTGGTGACAAAGTGTGTGTGGACAAAGTGTGTGTGGACAAAGTGTGTGGTGACAAAGTGGTGACAAAGTGTGTGTGGACAAAGTGTGTGTGGACAAAGTGTGTGGTGACAAAGTATGTGTTGACAAAATGTTTGTTGAGAAAGTGTGTGGTGACAAAGTGTGTGTGGACAAAGTGTGTGTGGACAAAGTGTGTGGTGACAAAGTATGTGTTGACAAAGTGTTTGTTGAGAAAGTGTGTGGTGACAAAGTGTGTGTGGACAAAGTGTGTGTGGACAAAGTGTGTGGTGACAAAGTATGTGTTGACAAAGTGTTTGTTGATAAAGTGTTTGTTGATAAAGTGTGTGTTGGACAAAGTGTGTGGTGATAAAGTGTGTGTTGAGAAAGTGTTTGTTGACAAAGTGTATGGTGACAAAGTGTGGAGGAGGGCGGAGGAGGAGAAGGCGGCGGAGGAGGAGCCCGGGATACAGAATCAAAAACAAGAACCCCACACAAAGATGTGGGGAAAAAACAGCTTAGGCGATTATGGATAACCATCTACCAAGATGAAGTGAAGGGAGACTTCGGTGGTATTAATCTCTGCTGTCCCATCAAGCGATTCTGAAAAGGTCATTGCCAGGATACAACTCCAATAACGGATGCATTCAACGAGTTATTGTGGTCCAAGAATGGGTTGAAAAACGTTCGACGAGTTATAAGTCATTGGGAATTGTCTTCCGCCGGGGTAAGGTAGAAAATCGTTGCAGGACCAGCGTAAAACTGATCAAGGGACTTCAATGAATTAGTTGGAGGAATAATCGACAGAAAAGTCGAGTTTTACCATCCAAATGGGGTCCCGATTTTACGCCCATTTTGCGAAATGAATGCGATCGATTGAATCGGTGATTACCCTCTGGTAATTTAACAAAGCTATTGAAGGTGGCCCATAGAAACAGTTGATTTACCTCTTAAAGATGGTGATTTCATGTGATCTCCCAGTTCGCGAGTTGTCAAACAGTTTACCAGGCTGGGTAACTCATGTTTGCAGTAGATACAGCAGTTGGTGATAACTCGCGAGTCTCAGGGGACCTTGATGGTGACAATCGAAAAAAACCAATGGGAAAATCCGAAGAGAAAATGGGGCTTGTCATGAGGCATGGCCCCATGACTTAGGAAATCTCCATGTGACGTGTATATTACCCTCTGGTTATTTAACATAGCCATGGAAAATGGCCCATTTAGAGATGGTTTACCTATTAAAAAAGGTGATTCTCCATGGCTATGTTAAATAACAAGATGGTATATGTTTTTTTCTCACTTTTTCTCTTCATTCCAAGGTGTTTGAATTTAAAGTTGTGGTTTCGAAACCACATTTTATGGGGGACCGATGTCAGGTGCTGCTAAAGCTGCTAATTTCTTGGTTATATGAAACCAGCCATGAAACCACACCCACGCAATTGACAGCCAGTCTTGGTAATCTATGGCTATCCAAATTTACCCAGGACTCGGCGATTCAATCTGCCACTGGGTCACCAACTTGGTTGTTTTACACCTACCAAGCTGCTTGAAAAAAACAAACAAACAAACAGTTAACTAAGTGGGCCGTAGCTAACCCTACTGGCCCTAAGCTACCCGAGCTACTGGGTTCACGTTCATCTCCGGGTGACTGAATCCGCTGGGTTTCTATTCATTTAAAGTCATCCCAGTTATCCAAAAAAATCACTCAGATTTTTTTAAATTCATTTGAAGTCCTCCAGAAGCAGTCCAGAAATCTCAGATTTTCCCAAACATTCAGATGGCTACGAGTCAAAACCCTGGCACCATTTCGGGTAGCCTAAGTCATAGCTGGTTCATGGATGTGAACATTCACCCAGTCATATGGCAAAATCGCAGGCAACTTGACCCGTCCCCATAGTGACATAGTGGTAAGCTCCAGTACCCGCAACGGTGGAAAATTAAACATGGCAAGATGGAAAATCCTCCAAAAAACCAGGGTTACTTTCCCCACTTACGATCCGGAAGATGATCCTCCAAGCAAACATCGATCCAAGTTTTGATTATCGTATTTCACTCACCTGATAAGCTTGGCTTTTCTTTGGGAAAGTTTATCCTTAATAACCATGGATTCTAGTCAGACCGAACCGTAAGGTCGTCAAAAAAAAACGAGTCTATTCTCATCAAATCAGGATATTCCCACAGGAAGAGGCCCCCAAGTTTTTAGTTGGCCTACAATCCCATCTAAGTATAGTTATATTCCCTACAAACCTAAACGTTCACCAAGTTACAAGTCAACTTAGCGAAACTTTTTGGGGCCCCTTCCTGCATACAAGAATTCCCATGGAAATCATGGTATTCCCATTAAAATCACACAACAATTCCCATGAAATGCCCATGAAATCAGGAGACTCCCCCAACAAACCCTCCCTTCGCGCCTGGTGGTGCACCTCGGAAGGCTCTGCCTTCTTCCAGGTACCTGGTAGGGATGTTTTGGGGATGATCTGGGGGATCAATAGATGACATTGTCATATATATCATATACATATATCATATATATATATATATATATATGTATACATACATACATAAATATATATATATATATCACATATATATATGTAATGTGGTAAACCCTGGCTGCCCATTTTTTATGGGTGGGATTGAAAAACCATCCCCCATTTTTGGTTATGACATTGGCTTTCCCACAATCAAATCCCAAAAAGATAGAACAGTAAAATGTCAAAAATCCTACTCAAATAGTGGCCGCGTTCACTATTCGACATCTTTTGGGGTTTGCTCTACGAAAAAAAACCATGGTTGATCCTTTCGTTAACATGAACGACTTAAAAACGTCACGTCCACAAGGTGATTTATCCGGCCAAAAAGGAGGAACTGATGTGGATCTGTAGGATGTCATCAACATTCATCAACTATAAATCCGTGTACCTGTAAATGGGGTTTAGCGCCAAACAGCAGTTTGGAAAATGACAATTCAGCAGTGGATTCGGGGGTTCCCCTTTTCTTGTACACGCTCAGATATGTGGCACACTTTTCGCAGGGATTTGAAAAACTGGAAGTCAACCAACCACCATGGGTGTAATTGGAATACACAAGACATAAAATGGTGATATGATTGGATATGATATATATATATATATATCACCAACATTATATATATATAACCAGTTATATGATATGGATGTTTTCAAGAATGAGAGATACTGAAAACCCAAAGTTGTGACAAGTTCAAACGGGAAGATGATGGTCAACCATCAAAAATTGAGGGAACCTTTTGCAGACGAACCCATAGGATAATAACCATGACTTGAATTCATCGATTACGGGGAAGGGCTTGAACAGCGCAGGCTTGAACAAGCTCCCTAGAGGTACCTGATGGCAAAGATGTTCTTGTGTTTGTTTTCCTTTGATTTTGGTAATGTTCATTTATTTTGCAAAGGGAGATATGCCCCCATTTCAACATGTCAGTTGGCCATAGTCGGATCTTTTTGGTCAAAATCATCAATTCAAAAAACAAATCAAACTTTTCGGCCTCCCAATTCACCGTCAGATGTTCATCGTTTCCTCCCTATCATTTCTATGTTGTCTATGTTTTATGGGAAACCCTGACAAAGAATAGGAAACGTTCAGCTTGGCCACTAGCCCATTAGCTAAACCCATTTGTGATCAAAGAGATAAAACTTTTGAAGTACTCTTCACCAATCTTTCCCCAGATATCTATCCATCGTTGCCTCTGAAATCCGTAAAACTTCTAAATTTTCCTCACCGCTTCAATCCCCTACAATTCCGTTGATGATTTCCATCAAATAGCCCATGGCCAAAACTGAAACCTATCAACTCCCCCACCATTTTTCAAAAACCCCATTTTTTCGAGTGAAAAGATCCTCCCCTCCACTCCGTGGCGCGATCTTTGTCCAGGCACGCGCGAAGTAGCTGGCGGCCACCAAGGGTTCCAACGACAGCACCTTGGGCGCATAGATCTGATCAGCGCCCGTGACCGTGTCTTGATCCAAGAGCTCCAAGGTCATATGACATTCCCGCACGGGTGCCTCCTGGGACAAAAAAAAACATGGGGAAAATGGAAAAAAAACACCAGAATCATGAATATAATGGATGTATTTATAATGGATACAGTATATTATATTATATTGTATTATATTGTATATTATAATTATATTATATGTTATATATAATTATATATATGTACATATGTATTACTGAAGATATCATGGGGATCTTTTTTTAAACGACCATAATAATGGGTATATGATCAGTATATCATTGGTATATAATGTGGATCTTACTTAAATGATTGGATGTAGGGAATATTTGCACATACTTGGGACCTTTCTTACCATTGAAGAGACATCGAGCATGATATGCCGATAGAATAGGAGCGTGGGCCATGAATGAAGATACAAAAAAGGGATATCGGAGATACAGCTAACCATAGTGGGTATATACTGAGTATACAATGGGTACTTATGATGGGTGTATATAAAACATATGTTGTAATGGTTTGATATAATGGGGAAAAAAGAGAACTCTTGGGATTTTTTCTGAGTTTCCTGGCTTAGGAACGGTTCATGAGAGCACATTCTTGCGAGGAAACCAGTAGAGTAACAATGACAATTAGATGGACTCGGTTCGCTAAAAATGGGGACTTGAGCAGTTTTATACGGTTTTTTTTTGGGAGTCTACAAGCAAACATGTGGAAAAAGTATGAGAAATTGGGATTTAAGGCAAACAAAACAGTATTCCGCGGTTTGGAAAAATCAGGCCTATGAAGAAAAATAAACACCTGGCAAAAATGATGGGGATAAACCATGGCACAAATTAGGGTCGTCCCCTATCGGTTATGAAGGTTTTTGATCGTTTTTGTGCAACCTCAGCCAAGGCGAAGCAAAACTAAATTAGTATTACAATATTTGTTTGTTGGTTAATTACTCATATAAACAAAGCGATAGAGGAAGTTCTACAACAAAATCGATGATTTTCTGATTTCACCTACAAAAACAGGTGACCAAACGACCATGGCGAAATGAGGAAGTGAGAGTGTCTAACGGGTTGATTCTTGGAAGAATCCCCAGTGGCAACTGGTGGCCAACTTGTTGATCTTTTGGTCGCGGACCGCGAAAACTTGGCGGGTTTCCAAACCATAAGCCAAAAGTTTATCTGGGGCAATTTTCATTATCGTGAATTGGCAGTGTGTCAAAATCCTATCCCCCTGGTGAACATCAAAATAGCTGGTAAATGGATGTTCATCCCCCTAAAAATGGTATCTATAGGTATTGATCCATAGCCAATTATCAATGGGATTTGGCCAGAATGTTGGGAGGCGTCTTGTGTATCGATCTAGGTGATCTAGCACAGCAAAAACGGTGGATTTTCCGTCATTGCGTCGGGATGACCTCAAAAATCTGAGGTCATTACATTACTCACTGGAGGAAAAGGTCCAAAACATACAACTAGCATCATCCTATCCGTTTTGGTTCTGTCGAATCTAATGTGTTGGTAGACATCCCCAAAACAAAATGAAACTAGCCATCCAAGGTTTTGACAGAAACTGCCCATTTTAGCAGGATTATCATGTTTTATCATCCTTGATCATCCTACCAAATATTCCAAAAATGGCAGCACTCCCCAGAGCCAAAGGTTTCACCAGGCGTCGATATCGAAAGTCCAGCTGTAATTGAAGGACGCCATCCTGGGTCAACGATGATGATGATGATGATGATGATGATGATGATGATGATGATGATGATGATGATGATCACGATCATGATGATGATGATGAATCATCATCATCATCATCATCATCATCATCATCATCATCATCATCATCATGATCACGATCATGATGATGATGCTGATCACGATCATTATGATGTTTATTATTATGATGATGAGGAGGAGGATGATGATGATATTGATGATATTGATGGTATTGATGATATTGATGATATTGATGATATTGATGATATTGATGATATTGATGATGTTGATGTTGATGATGTTGATGATGTTGATGATATTGATGATATTGATGATGTTGATGATATTGATGATATTGATGATATTGATGATATTGATGTTGATGATGTTGATGATGTTGATGATATTGATGATATTGATGATATTGATGATATTGATGATATTGATGATATTGATGATATTGATGATATTGATGATATTAATGTTGATGATGTTGATGATATTGTTGATATTGATGATATTGCTGATATTGATGATATGGATAGTATTGATGATATTGATGATATTGATGATATTGATGATATTGATGATATTGATGATATTGATTATACTGCTGATATTGATGATATTGGTGATATTGATGAACAGTCTCCAAAGTCAGATATGTTTGAGGGAGCTGGTCCACACAAACATGATAAAACTACATAAAACGACTGATGTGGCCGTGGATCAATTTACCTTGGAGGACCAATGTGTGCAACTAGACACGGCCAATGTTACAATAGATTCAATAGATGTAAATCCACCACGTTTTGGTGAAACCCTTCATTTCTGGCATATATCTCCTCTCATATCCCAACTCTTTATCCTCCGTGATTCTCCATTCACTATTGATTCAGTACTCAATTCGAACACTCCCAACGTTGCCATGGCCATGCGTCTTGTGTGCATATTTATGCACATCCGTCCGCAGCAATGCCACCGACGCCTGCTTTCCCACCGGCTGACAGGTCAGAATCCCACGGACGTAGACATCGTTGCGCTCCCCGAAATCTTTGAAGACCGAGATACCGTCCACCTGCGCATTGAAAATCCATAGGGGGAATCCAGCATTTTTCCAAAAAATGAGGTGTTCAACCAAAATGGGAAAATATAGGGACATAATGGGCACAAAAAATGGAACCTCAACATGTTGGGAAATGCCAGTTCCGAACAGTGGGTAGTTTGTCGACAAACCGATGCTGTGGCTATGGGCCGTGTCAAATTTGAAGACCCACCGGGTGGATGTTGATCTCAAAACATGGGGCGTTTTTTTTTGTGCTTTGGCATCCCTTTCCCAGCGACAAATTCGCGGAGTCCAAAGTTTCTGTAAACGCTTGGTGATTGGTAAATAAAAACACTGACTCTTGAAACTTGAGGAACAAGGATGCTTAACAGGTGCTGCATTTTGGATAAAAGTGGTAAAAATATGTAACGGTGGCGGTCCACAAATGTGGCCGGCATCGACAGACTGTTGGGATTGTCACTTCTGTGCATTTTCTCTGAGCAAATTGGAATCGCAAACCTGAACTACGGTTTGCAATTTTGCTGACCATCCCAAAAACAGTTCACAGGCGGCCAAAGTTTGGATCGTTTCTGCATCAAGTAGCGTCAAGTAGCGTCACGTCTAATCCATAGATGCCATAGATCTCTGAGACAACGCCCCATGCTTGGGCCATGATTGTGCTAGAAGCCATTTGGCTTTGCGTGCCCTAAACTTGAATGGCTCGAGATCCTGCAAAAATATGCAAAGTCATCTGCAATGGATTATCTTGGACTCCGGACAAATTAATTACTCAAATTCCATCAGAACAGTTCGCCATGTTTATTTCATGATCTACTAAGCGTCACGATCATTTTTGGCTATTCTTGTTGACTTCAATGGTCCTAAAATGAGTTCTACCTCCGTTTCCACCTCGCCTGAAAGATCTTGATCTGAACCTGGCGTTTGAGCATTGACCATCCCGGAGATCAACCAAAATTCGCCCAATTTCGGAGACATCGAATGAAAATTTGAAGGCAAAATAGATCATCAGATAGATGGATAGCCAGATAATGGTAATTTATAGATAATCTAACCATCTAATAGATAATCTTAATAATCAATGAAAATTGATCAGATAGATGGATCTGCAGATATAGCCAGATAATTTAAACCCAACTAAGTTCTTCGAAAAGTTGAAGGTTGGTCACCATAGGTCACCTTTTTTTCACCGCTTGGCCGCGCCTGCAACGGCATGGGGATCTCCTTAAGACTGGAAAAATCCACCTCCGGCACTCGTTCCTGGAAGGTGAAAAGATCCATCCAGGTCCTGAACCAAAGGCTAAACGATGGAAATCCCATGGTGTTTTCCCTTTCAGAAATGATCCAATGATGCTGGAGTTTCCATGAGTTTCCAATTCTTTTTTGGATGTTTACTAGATGGAAAGCTATGGAAAGCTTGAAAATCGATCTTAGGGGCCTTGCTGCAAAAAATAGGCTTGCCGCAATGGGGGGATGTCCAAGCAATAGGGTCACCAAAAGCTGAATCCCATTGATCCTGTCAAGTGGGGGTTTCCATAGTGATAGTACCCCAATCGCTGGATGGTTTTCGAATGAAAAATCCTGTATTTAAATGGATGATTTCGGGGGACCCCCATGGTAGGGTCCAACCCCATTTTGATTATCCCAGTCGAGACATTCATCGGTTCATGAGAAATGTGAAGACTTGGCACCGCTCGAAATTTGGAAATTCGCGCCCTCTCCAACTCAGGTCCTGAACAGACCACTATGACTGGTTTACCACTTTATGACTGCTACTCTTACTCCACCATAGTTCGTCAATAACTAGGATTGTCATCATATTATAGCAGTATACTCAGTATACTGTCATTAAGTTATCTTCCCATAACCGCCATAACCAGGCACCATTATCCCCTCTAGTCCAACAGTCCCGAAGGTGGGTGGACAATGATTGTTACTGATGGGTTCACTTATAAACTGTTACCCTCTGGTTATGACTAACATTGCCATGGAAAATCAACATTTTTAATAGGTAAACCATCTATTTCTATGGGCCATTTCCCATGGCTATGTTAAATAACCAGATGGAAATTCCAAGTTATCAGGTCCCAATGATTGTCCTAATTCCCAATGATTGGGACTGTATAATACCCAATCATTGGATGATCATGTTCTTGACAATTGCAATGAAGGTAAATTACTATCATCTAAAATCATCTAAATCTAAAATCTAAAATATCTATTTTCAGTCTCAAGTCACTGTTTTCCTCAGCCAAAAATTCGACCATCCCAAATCCCCCCACCTCCTCGATTTCACTTCTAAACTCTAAAATCATCGTCCCTATGTTCCATCCCCAAAGTTTTTCGGATTCCAATTTTCTTCCCATCCAAACCCAAACCTCCCAATCCATCTCCCAACATCCCAACATGCGGTCCTTAAGGTGCCAGCCTTTCCACGCTGTTTCCCATCCCGATACAACGCTAGTGCTTCGATGGGCGCTGGGCTGGGTGGTGCCAGGTGGGGCCGATACGCTGTGGGCGCCTTTCGGCTGTGCGGGTGGAACAACGTGGCCGCCCGAGAGCCGCCGGGCTCCAGGCGTTTCTGGTGCACCTGCCACGGTGCCCAATACGGAGGTGAAAAGATGGGGAAACAAACCGCATCCTGGAGAAAACCGTGGAATGATTGGAATGATCGATTTTTTGGGGTGAGTTTGGTGAGTTTTGGGTGAGTTTTGGTGACTTGAAATGCCGGCACCTGCCTGTTGTTTTGGTGATGTTGTGTATCATTCGATATTTCCGTAAATTCACAAGCCTTGCGCGTGAAATCCTCCCTGGTTTACCCATCAGATGGTAAAACTTGTGGAGTCCCTTTTTCATAATTTTTCTAGGAACACCCAAACATGTAGGCTGACCTGGAATTGGAGATTTTCTAACCCCATTTCATCTAGAAACTGTCTGTGTCACCAAACAATGGCGCCAAACCCTGTATTAAAAAAAGGTGAAATACAGCCGGTTTCGTGGCCATTTCCTGAACTTGTCATTGGATCCCAACATCGAATTGGACCCCCATGCCATGGACTCCGTAGATCTCCGTAGTCATCCCAAAAACATCGGTTACAGAGTGTAGCACGAATGACCCAAAGGTCGCCACGTTGGTCTGAAAAAAGTGTGACCCAAATATGGTGATTTACCCTCTGGTAAACAAACAGTTTGCTATGTTTCAAATGGTGATTTTTTTCGTGGATTTATTGAAAATGGTGACTTAAATATTGAATAAATCCACTATAAATCACCATTTTTATCACTATTTTTCAATAAATCCACTATAAATCCACTATGATTCATCACTGGTTCCGCGTTTTTCGGGGAATCCATATTTTTTAACCCGCTTAAGTTGGGATCCACTGCGGGATAATCCAAAGATCCTCGATGGAAAAGGTCGTTTGAGTAAAAATCCACTAGTGGGATGCACGAATCCAAGTAGATTAGTCGGAAAAAAAAAATATATATATATATACATATCCATATGATATACATATACATATAAATATACATGTATATATATATGTATCTATATATATACATGATTGTAGCTTAAATTCGTAGAGTCTCTCGCAGTTTCGCTATAAAGTCTCCATTCATTGCCGGAACATCTCCCCGGACCTTGGTTGGGTCACACCAGGTGGTTCTGCCCCAGTGGTGTTGGTGGTTCACCTCGGTGGTCACTTCCAACGCCTCGCTGGGCGACAGACGCGTCTGGATCCAGGGGCTACTGGAAGCACTGCGGAGGCGTTTGTACATCAGAGCCATCTGACGATCTTCCAGGTCCACCTGATATGATTCAAAAATGGCCAAAAAAACACTGAAAAACACTGCCCTGGAATTTTCCCACCCGCCAATTGCTAAAAGAATGAGGGGAACCCTTAAAAAATGTTGGAATCCCACTAAAAAGGCCAAGAAATCATAGAGTTGAGCACCATTGTTCGTGGTAACCCGGATCTTCATCTAGTTGGTTAATAAGCATCCACTATTCGGGTCTTAATTATTCCCAATAAGCCATGTAGCATAACCCCTATAATCCCTTCCTCCTAATACTAAACGTCCCCCCTATTAATAAACACGGCAGGTAGTTTTTAGTATTAGGGGGGTATTTATTATTAGGGAACCCTATTAATGAAATTAAACCCTTAATAATAAAAACTAGTTTTTCCGATCTCAAAATCAATTAAAATTCTTTATATAACGCAATTAAAATATTGCCAAAACTTGGATTTCGAAGCTTCCCCCTAATATTAAATTCAAACCCTTAATAATAAAAACTATTTTTTCCGATCTCAAAATCAATTAAAATTCTTTATATAACGCAATTAAAATATTGCCAAAACTTGGATTTCGAAGCTTCCCCCTAATATTGAATTCAAACCCTTAATAATATATAAAAACGATTTTTTCCGATTTCAAAATCAATTAAATTCTTTATATAACGCAATTAAAATATTGCCAAAAATTGGATTTCGAAGCTCCCCCTAATACTAAATTAAAAGCCCTAATATAAAAAACAAAAAAAAATCGGACGGACCCTAATAATAAACACCCCGGGGTTGACTAGTTTTCAGTATCAGGGGGGAAAACCCACAAATGGTAGCTTGATTTTTAAATTGTTTTCTAAAGGGGATCAATCAAAAGTCAAATTGGCCAATCTGAAATTTTCCAAAATTGGAGATGGACACTAGTTTTTAGTATTTGGGCGGGGTTTAGTGATAGGATTAATCATCAACCAACCATCATTTGTAAGGGTCCCGAATTGTTTGGGGATATTTGTTCAATTTTTTTGGATTTCCTGTTCTGTCCATTTTCCCTGCTATTTGCAGCATTTTGGAGTTCGGAATTTGCAACATTTGTGTGCTCGAACTGTTCATGGAACACAATGATAGTTTGCAAGTAGGGTTCATTTAGGGATGGTTTCAGGGTGTTTGTTTAGGATCTATTTAGGGTTGGTTTTAGGAATTGGGCTTGGTTTAAATGCTCCACATCAAAGGTAGGTCTTCGCCTCTTTATCTCGCCCTTTCCAAAAGTCGCCTGGGGCTAAACTCACAGTTGTGGATTTCTTCCAAAAGTACCCTCTGGTAATTTAACATAGCTATTGAAAATCACCTGTTTTAATGGGAAAACCCACTATTAATGGCCATTTTCAATAGCTACGTTAAATTACCAGAGGGTAGATGGTTTTCCGGCGTTCCCCAGGGGCTTTCCACACACATCCATGTTCACCCTTTACGGGCGCCACCGGGCTCCCCTGACGCTCGAGGCACATGAGCCTCGCCCAAAAGCTCATCGGTGAACTGCAACAGAGGCTTCGCCCAGAGCTGCAAGACCAGCACCCCGTCGCCCGGCAACATCCTGAGCGTTAAGACATGGGGATATACCATGGAGATGGGGATATCATGAGGATTTGTCATGTAATGGGTGTATGAAATATATAGTTATATATATATATATACAGTATATATAGTTATATATATATATACAGTATATATATATATATTATACATATATTATATATATATCACATATAAACATATATACATATATAATTATATATATAATTATATATATATATATCACATATAAACATATATATATATAACTATATAATATATATATATATATGTATCAGCAGCAAAATGAGAATGGGGGTGAGTCTGAACATTGGATCTACCCGATTGGCAATCTTGATGACATGATCCAAACCATGGGATTTTTGGATGTTCCAAACGCAAAACCAGGTCACCTGGTGCAAAGAATTGGTGAATGTGGAACACACATCCAATTCACAATTAAAAGATGTTTAAAGATGTTTAAAGCTCATGACTCATGACTCATAATATCCTGATCCGTGGGTATCTCCAGATCATCAGCTAAGCCAAGGAGCAAATCAAAGGTCATCCGATGGTAGAAATCGCAGCCACTCCCATCATCGTGCGTCAGCCGTGCCGAATACTGTTGTGGTTCTTCCTGATCAACAACCAGCCAACAACTGAGATCTTCTATGGTCTTAGCCTCTTCTATGGTCTTAGCCACGAGCCAGACTGGATTTGAACATGCAAACAAATGGGATCCTGCATTGATTTTACCACACAAAATTTGGAGTTGATATAGCCAATACTCATTGAAGAGAATTGGAACTTTAGCAACCAAGAAGATCCAACAAGTACAATGATGGGCTCCGGAACTGCAACTGGGATACAGTATTACCCAAGTCAATGCCCAGTCAAGCCCCCAGCTGAAGGGACTGTTCACGACACAAAAATTGAAGGTTTATGGCATTGGGTTTCTCAAAATTCTGAGCTGCTGGCCTTCTCCTAGCTGGTTCGAAAACAGTAAAAGGCCTCCTAGGGGATACCGGATGTACCCATTTTGGAGCCCTTCAAAAAAAGAAACCATGGATCTGGGTAAAAAGTCTCATACTATTCTCATAATATTCTCATAATATTCTCATTGTCTTTCACCTCAGTTTTTCACTTCCTATGACTACCCTCTGGTAATTTAACATAACTATGGAAAGATCCACCATTTTTAATGGGAAATTCCACTATTTCTATGGCCATTTTCAATAGCTATTTTGACATAACCAGAGGGTAGAATCCCCCCAATCCACCCGAGGCGTCTCCTCCGAGCCCATGATGAAGGCCCGGATGTAGGGCGCACGGAAGTCCGGCGACTCAATGCCTCGGACGGTGAGGAGGTACACGTTGAGCGCAAAGGAATCGTGGAGCCAGAGACCTGGGGCGGAAAAGGGAAGGGGGATGCGAACCATCAAAAAATGGGGGTTCAACCAGTAAAAATGAGGGTTTTTCACATGGTTTAACCAGCAATTTTATGCTGGTTTAACAATGAAATCCATGGTGGTTCAACCATCAAGAACCGATGGATTTCATCCATGAATAAATGGATTTTCTGAACATGAATCAACCCGCTGTGAGTTTTACCCATAGTATGGTGACCTTGGGAACATCATCCATAAATGGGGAATGGTCCATTTAGCGATGTTTGAAAAAACCAGAGGGTTTTTCCAAGGAGTTGATGGCCAGAGGGCATATATACACGGAGTTGATTCGGTTAAACCGCCAGTTTATGCCAGTTTGGTGCTTTAATAGGGGTTAAGTTCAGGACTTGCCATCATTTCAGCCAACTCTAGTGGTCAGAAAACAACACAAACCCTCCTGAGATTCATTTCATATGGTGAGAATATATGGGTTCAAGCACCACTTAAGCACCATCTAACCACCATCTATCACCACCATTATCATTTCAAGCGGCCAAAAGCCCAATAATCAATCTGGACCCCAGAAATAGGACCTTTTCCCCAATTCATGGCTATTCAAGAATGTGGAAAACATTGGAAAAACGATGATTTTCACATTGTCACCACCAAAATCTGTGGTGGTATCTTATTTTTGGACAGCATCATCATGTTCTTCATTGAATTGCTATAAGAACAGGGATAAAAATCTAATTTCTTGCCAAACCATGCCAAACCCATGTGGTCTTTTATTATTCCATGGGTCATATCCCTCGCATAACCCCAGAATTGGCCCACCATTGTTGCTTGGATTTTTGTTCGTCTTGGTGGGGCAAACCACCATTGTTGTTGAAGTTTTACTCAAATTGTGATTGTCAAAAAAAAAGGGAATACCCCAAAATGGCCAGTCTAGTGGTGAAAATGATGTGTTTAACCACTTGTTTTTGGTTTTTCCTGTGAATTTTCAAACAAATCCATATCTCAAAAAGCTTGAAGTGGTGGGTTGTATATATCCCATTCTATCCCCATTATACCCCCAAAAAAAGATCCATAAGATCCATACGCCAGTGACTTCGAGAAACGTTCCACAGGCAGCACATTTTGCACCACTTCGATCTGCGCCGGCGTCCCATCTGTCTCTTCGACGGCCTCCAGGTGGACGTGAGCTTTCAAGGTGCCAACTTCCTCAGGCCATGGGTGCAGGGAGATCTTGGAACCTCCTGGGTACATTTCTGCTGGTGCCATAAAAAACCCTCAAAAAAAAAAACATCCCTTGAGCAAATCCTCAAGAAAGGGGACCTTTTCAAAATTCCCAGGCGAACTTGGAAAAAGAGGAATAAAACCACCAAAGAACTGGTCCACCAGTGGGGGTTGGAAAGTACCCCGGCAATACTTCGATGATGAATCTCTTGAGCGAACGAAATTTAAACCTCCGTGGCTAGTCCATTTAGTTCGATGATTTTCCAACCAAAAACATCCATTTAGAGTCGGTATTTCCCATAGATTTTTCCAGATGTTCCTAAGATTTTCCCTTGGCTAACCTTCATTCAGCCATGTTTATTTCCCAGCCATGTTTGATGGTTGAATCAGCAAGAAAATCCACAAACTCAATGGGGAATTGTCCATGTTTCCATGTTTCATTTGAGGTAAACCCGAGTTTTTGTTTTTCAGCCCGTGTGTGTGCTTTTCAGCCCGTGCTGCCTCTGGGTTGGAAGATTACCTTCCACTAAAACATGGACTATGTTCATGGTCTATTGTGTCAATTTGCTATATCATGAAAATTGATTCATGGATATTACATTGCGTTAATTGGAAGATGATTTGGCATGTTGAGAATTTGATGGGACTTTTTTGCTAAAACAATGGCGGCTGTTCTCAGTCATTCGGGACCCCAACATGTTCATCTTTACTGGGGAAACCATTCGTTTGAGGTACCGCGGAAGCGTTAAATAAGAACCGATTAAGAATTTTCCAGCCTACCCTGGGGTTCTTAAGCGCTAGAAAATATGGGAATTATGAACGAGAGTGCCCTCAAGTTCTTCATGGGTTAGTTCTTAAGGGGTTCATATGGTGAGGGTTTTGCAAATTCGTAGTAATTTCCCCATTTAGAATTATGTGGAAATAGTGCCTCCAGAGACAGCTCTGCAAGCAGCGAATCCAAAACAGAGCAGCCATCCGAAACAACTCATGGCAGGGTCGACGTTAAAAAAAGTGGGATGTAGTTGCCTCAGTTTAGAAAAAACATATCATAGTTACTATAGTTTCTTGGGTTAAACCATCATCTTAGCTGTTTAAACCACCAGTTTTCATGGTTACCCTCTGGTAAACATACAAAAAACTATGGAAAATCACCATTTTTCATGGGAAAACTCACTATAAATGGCCATTTTCAATAGCTATGTCAGCTATTACCAGAGGGTAAACCATCATCTTAGCTGTTTAAACCACCAGTTGTCATGGTTAAACCATCCAAAATTGGATGGTTGAAGTCCAAAATGGCTGACCCCGTGGCAGTCCAGCGTCCTTGTCGTCGGGCGCCATGAGGCGCCGCCGCACATTGACCAATTTCGAGAGCACCACCTGAGCGTTTTGGCGTTTTTTTTTTTGGAAAAAATGGAGGTTTTTCTATGGGTTTTCTATGGTTTTCTATGGTTTTTCCCAGAAAAATTGGGGGGTTTCATAATGTTCCATAAATGGGGGATGCCTTCAAATCAGCCCAAATCATCCGGCTTTTGGGGGGAGTTTCCATTATCATCCAGCTTTTGATAGCTTTTGGGGGAAGCCCTACTTTCGGAAACCACAAATGGTCATTCATGGGAAACAGTTGGACAATGATCATTAATGGGAACATGGTCATAAATGGTTCTATAAATTTGTTGGTTTTAACTGGGAAAAAGTTGGAAAATGATCACAAATAGTGTTAGAATGTCCTTTTTAATGGGAAAAAGTTGGAAACTGTGGGGCTTTTTCGTGGGCTATGTGGTTTCCTGGAACGAAAGCAAGGCCATGTAATCCATGTATTTGTGGACAAGATGGTCAGAATCAAAACTTCCACATCAATTATTGTAACTGATGTTCCACGTCAGATGAGACGGTTGTGGTTTGGCATCTGGGCTGATCATCACGATCATCCGATCAGCCCACCTATTCTCAAGTCCCATATTATCGTCCTTCCCCATATTGCTAAACGATTTTAGGGCCGTTTGATGCGGAAGTTTTTCAGATCATCGTGCTAGATTGCTTAAACTGGAGGCACCATCTCTTTTCTCTTGAAGCAACCAGTTGAAAGAGAGTGAAGGAGGACGTCTATGGGTGAGTATCTGGTTAACAACCATGGTTGTGACCCAGTTGTGATGGGATATGTATATATATAACCTGTGATAACCCCAAGTGTTTGAAGCTTACGATCACCAAGTCTATTGACCAATGTGAATCCAGAAATTCCCATGAGACCGGAAAAAAGCGCGGGGTCGCCCGCTTCTCCACACGGCACTTCTAAGCGATATGCAAGGTGTAAGTTTGAATCCTCATCTTTGATGTTTCTTGATGGCTACTGCTTGTCGGTAGTAGCCAAGTTGTCCTGCTTCCATCTTCCCATTCTCGGAAACCTTTTCCCACATGTTAGCCACTTTCAAGCTTCCTTCCCATTATCTCCCATTACACCATCATCTTGCACCCAGACAGATCAACGCTTTCATAAACCTTCCATGGACCTCGCCTCTTTCACGAAATCTGTGTCCTGATGTTCCAGTATTGGCAGCGCCGCCACGTCTGGAGACACCTCCGGCTGGGCCCTTCTCGAATGGGCTAAGCCATCCATTTTGGTGGATCAAAAAGCTAGGGATGGCCGGAGAAATTGAAAATCATTGGGTAGCTGAAGAGCTGCTTGAGAGAAAAATAGAGGATACCCTCTGGTAAACGTTTACATAACTATATGGAAAGATCCAGCATTTTAAAAATGGGAAAACTCACTATTTCTATGGCCATTTTCAATAGCTATTTTGACATAACCAGGCCGGGTAAAGTTTATTTCCAGTTGATTTCCTGAAAAAAGGGAACTTTCCCAGTGGATTTCCTGACTCTTTAAGCGGCTTCTGCAGGAATTCTTAAGCGTTTTTTCTTCAGCAGGAACGAAGTCCAGGCACCCCAAAAAGAACGATGGAAACATCCCACCTTTGGAAAAAATGGAACAGAACCTGGTGATCAAAACTATCTCACACTCACACCCTGAAACATGAAATACATTGAAATACCTTCTAGAAACCCACCGTTTAGTGTTGCATCATGTTGCATCTGTTCATTTTGGGGGTTCCGTTATGATGGAGGTAGGATTCAAAGACACGGAACATGAATTATCCAGGAAGGGATTTATTCATGGTTGGTTCAATCATCATGATGGATGATAATCCCCAACTAATAGTGGATATAATCATCAATAATCCATAATTGGGCTTATATGTCCCTATATCTCACCATTCTACCCAATATTATGCTGGATAATTAATCCTAATAATTCTCATAAATGAAAATGTTCATACCCAATCAATATTACCCTCTGGCCATCAAACAGCTGGAAAGACTCATTCTAATGAATTCAATGATTTTTCTATTAAAACCTCCATTTCTATGGGATTTCCAATTGCCATGTAGCTGATTACAGGTATCAGATATTGTTGGCTATATATATATGTGTATAATATATATATATAATTTTATCCTGATGATATTCCCATGATATCCATGATAGATGTCATGATTCGTCCCTTTTTTGGCTAAACCCAGCCTCGCTCAGGACGGCCCGGAACCAGTTGTTGGTGCGGACTCGGTCGAAGTTGCGCGTGTGGCCCTGCTTCATGATGCGGCAACAGAAGGCGTGCTTGGAGACGCGGATGCCATGGCTATAGCCGTCCTATGCCGCTGGGGGTTGAGATGTCACGGTAGAGGATGCCTTGGGTTTTTGTTGGGAGACATGCCAATATTGCCAATGATGGTATAATGATGGTATAAAACCAACTATCTTATGGCTGTGTCGCATGGCACTATTTATACGGCAACTACATTTAAATATACGGATTTTTAAATATACGAACAGGTATTTTAGACTACCTCCGGGAAGGTTTTTCTTGGCCCGCCCAGCCATTTAAACATACGGAATCCAATTCATTTAAACATACCGTAACTACATTTAAATATACGAACTGGTATTTCATACTACCTCCGGGGCCTCGCGGTTTGGCCTGCCCTCCACATATTTAAATGTCGTTACCGTACTATTTTCTGGCAGCCCCCCATTCTGTCTCTGGATTCTCTGGTCACCGTGAAACACGCTACCAGGGCTAACCTGAAATTCCATTTCTGCCAGGGTATTATTTATATTATTTATAACATTCCGCCATCGACGTGACAAAAGATTCCACTCTGAAAATGATCCGACTGTCGAAGGTCTTTTTCCCCTCAGATTTTCAAGGTGAATTCACTATGTCTTGCTTCAGCCCCATGTTCGATGCAAAAACTCAAGAGCTTAAACTAGGTGTTAGGCGACCAAAAACGGCCTTTTCTATTTTTTCTGTATACACTTTTGCGTCGAATTCCAAGACGTTTCTTGTCATCTGAAGGAAATCGCAGGGTCGGCGGCTGGTCATTGTGCCACCAAGATGGCAGTGAAGGATGACGTTTTCCGCATTCTCCAGTTTCCCAGTGTTTTTGCATCTGTTTTTGGGATTGCTCTAGACGAGTTTTACCATGATTTCTTGCTAAATCACCATGTTTGCTGGTAAAATATGTTTCTTCCGTAGATAAATCAACATGTTTGTCCATTCTCAGCCAGTGATGTCAATTATTAACCATATATCAACCAAAGGGTGAGGTGTTGTTTCATAACTGAATATATTCATTAATCATATATTAACCACATTTTAACATATATATGTTAACCATATATTGACCGTATATTAACCATGGCCCACACATCAATCGGAGAAGTGTAATTAATATATGTTCACCATCGAGATCATACATTGCTGCAGATGTGTAATGAAGTACATTTTCACCATACATGTTCACCATACATTCGGGGTGATATCCATATATTAACCATTAATATTCTTAACATATATTAACCCTATATTATCTATATATATAATTATATAATTACAATTATGTATATATATATACAGTACATGTTAATCATATATTAACCATACAACATCTCCAGTTCATCTCCACCACTCCTCGGGCACGTGCTTCACCCTGTGCTTGTGCTTCGGCGCAACCGCCGCCCCGTCCACTGGAAGCAGCGTCTCTGCCGCGGAAGCCGGTCGGAAGTCGCGGCCGCCCGCCAGGGTCTTGGAAGGATACCTGGGATTCAGATGGGAAACTATGGATGAAATCAAAGAGAATAAGAGGCTTCGCAATAGAACCTGTGGATTTCATGTTTTTCTTAAAGGGATTTAACGATACTAGAAATCTGGATGTAGCAAAGATTGGAGGCAAACTGGTTTTGACCTGGTTGCTCGGCTGCTGGTAGGGCGGAAGTCAACTGAGTTTACCCCACTGGCACGAACAGAAAGGTTTTCTGAATGGGATGCACATGGATCCCAAGATGGATCTCCTTGATATCACTTTGGGTTTGTGGCGGCTTGTGTCATTGCAACCACTTCCTCGAATGTTTTTGGCTGAAAGTTGCCGCTCCGTGCTGGAACCTCCTGTGAATTCCTGCTGATTTTCCCTGCTCCAAGTCTCTGCGAGGATTTTTCGTGAGAACAATCTCTCGAACACTGCTCATTTTCGGATCCCCCAAAAAAACCTCCATCCATATCTAGCTACCTATATGATCCTGTATTTTCATCCGCATTTTTCATGATATCTATCATATATCTATCATATATCTATCATCTATCTATCATATATCTATCCATATCCATAGAAACATCCACATTTTTTCAACCACCATCAACCACCATCAATCACCTCAACATGGGCCCATCCCATCCCTTGGATCGCCACGGTGCCAGATGGTCTCCAGCGGATAGCGCAGGTCGAAGCTGGGCACCGGGATGGTGACGAGCTCGTCCGTCTCCGCGAGTTTCACCACGAAGAGCACCTGCCGAGTCTGACGCGAAAAGAAAAACCTGTTGGAGTTGTCAATCTATTATATATGTGTGTATATATATGTATATGTATATGTGTATGTGTATATGTATATATATATATAATATGTATATAATATGTAGATGACTTAGATGACTTATACTATGATGTTTAGCCACTTACCAACTGGGATGCAACTTTGGGTTTCTGGCACAATTCCACCATCCACCTACTGCTGAAGTTAATCTACTTGAGATGATTCACTGCAGAAGTGGCTCGGGTTCAAAGCTGGAGACCCGCATGTTTGCGTTGTTGCATCAAGCGTGCACGAACGGCTATACCCACTCACAGTCCAAACAAAACTATGTATATATATATGTATATGTATATGTGTATGTGTATATGTATATATATATATGTATATAATATGTATATAATATGTAGATGACTTAGATGACTTATACTATGATGTTTAGCCACTTACCAACTGGGATGCAACTTTGGGTTTCTGGCACAATTCCACCATCCACCTACTGCTGAAGTTAATCTACTTGAGATGATTCACTGCAGAAGTGGCTCGGGTTCAAAGCTGGAGACCCGCATGTTTGCGTTGTTGCATCAAGCGTGCACGAACGGCTATACCCACTCACAGTCCAAACAAAACTATGTATATATATATATATATGTATATGTATATGTGTATGTGTATATGTATATATATATATGTATATAATATGTATATAATATGTAGATGACTTAGATGACTTATACTATGATGTTTAGCCACTTACCAACTGGGATGCAACTTTGGGTTTCTGGCACAATTCCACCATCCACCTACTGCTGAAGTTAATCTACTTGAGATGATTCACTGCAGAAGTGGCTCGGGTTCAAAGCTGGAGACCCGCATGTTTGCGTTGTTGCATCAAGCGTGCACGAACGGCTATACCCACTCACAGTCCAAACAAAACTATGTATATATATATATATATATGTATATGTATATGTGTATGTGTATATGTATATATATATATGTATATAATATGTATATAATATGTAGATGACTTAGATGACTTATACTATGATGTTTAGCCACTTACCAACTGGGATGCAACTTTGGGTTTCTGGCACAATTCCACCATCCACCTACTGCTGAAGTTAATCTACTTGAGATGATTCACTGCAGAAGTGGCTCGGGTTCAAAGCTGGAGACCCGCATGTTTGCGTTGTTGCATCAAGCGTGCACGAACGGCTATACCCACTCACAGTCCAAACAAAACTATGTATATATATATATATATGTATATGTATATGTGTATGTGTATATGTATATATATATATGTATATAATATGTATATAATATGTAGATGACTTAGATGACTTATACTATGATGTTTAGCCACTTACCAACTGGGATGCAACTTTGGGTTTCTGGCACAATTCCACCATCCACCTACTGCTGAAGTTAATCTACTTGAGATGATTCACTGCAGAAGTGGCTCGGGTTCAAAGCTGGAGACCCGCATGTTTGCGTTGTTGCATCAAGCGTGCACGAACGGCTATACCCACTCACAGTCCAAACAAAACTATGTATATATATATATATGTATATGTATATGTGTATGTGTATATGTATATATATATATGTAAAACAGGTAAACGAGCAGCGACTATTTTACCCCCGAGGCACTTGATCTTGAAATACATTGTCGTGGAATGAGCATGAATTGCAAAATTCGCATGGATCCCCATCATTTTTATGGGAAAACCACGGATAAATCATGGAACACAATGTGACAGGTCGTTTTTCCTAAACAGTCAAACACAAAAACACAAAACACAAAACAACGAATCAGCTCAAATCGCGCTGTGTGTGCACGTGTGGTGTATGTTTGGAGAGCTGTAAGCAGCTCAGTCCTGCGGCCTTCAACTTCTTTTCGCTGTTCATCTCTGCATCATAGGTGATGCGCCATCTAAAGGACATTTTGATGTAAAGCCAGCCTTGGTGTTTCTCCTTAGGTTTAGTAAGACAGTTGGCAATCATAGCACCTCCATTGACCCATCGAAGTGGTGTATTGCTGTCATTCAAATTTTCTTTCAAACTCAGAGCTTCAATAGATGATCGTTTCTCTGCGCCCTTGATGACCACAACTGTAGAAGAAAGTTTATCATACAGATCTTTTGCGTCAGTAATCATTAAACCAGGTGTTTTCATTGCAGAACCATTAACATCACGTGGGTTGATCAGGTGTCCTTGTAGTTCACTCCAGAGTATTCGCAAAAATACCAAATCATCCTCGCCATCCAGTGAAGCAAGTGTTTCTGCCGAAGCGGAACTTCTGCATACGCGTGGTATTTTTCCTGAGCGCCAGTGAATGGGAGTAACACCTTCTTCAAAACCCTCACGAAGTTTTTGTGTTGACATACCAATAAAAATTCCTTCCGTAGAATCCACTTCATTTGGACGATTGGCATGCGCAGCGTCGGACCAGCATATCAGTTCCAGTGGTTGGTCCGTCTCAAAACTATGTATTTTGTATTTGATATGCTTGGCCTTCTTGATATCTCGTATCAGTTTGTTCACCAGCAATATATCATTGACAGTGCTGAATGGGATCTTTGTGATGAAGAAATTGACATCAACGGAAAATAAAAAGCATGTCTGTCCACAAAGCCATGATAGTGACCCAAGAGCTCCTCGAAGCTCCCGTTTTTCACTGTCTGTGGTTCCACTCAAAGTTTCCTGACTACGCGCTTTGGAAATGCGGATTTCCTCCAGTTGATCGATAAAATGTTCTTGAGTGAGTTCAATACTGTAGTCATCATTCTGAATAATATCAATACCACATTGAGTAAAATTGCCAGTTTCCCATTCTCCCCAGTTGAAACGTGTCTTCAATTTTGAAAGTAGCTCTTGATGTATTGTGTCCTGTTCCTTGCCCGCGAACATCATGTCATCAACATGTGCATGAATAGCTGAACGAACACACCCAGTATCGTCAACCCATACCCAGCTACATGGTTCCATTTGTAATCTTCTATACCCCAGTTGTTGAAGAGCTCGACAAAGACTTTCATACCATTGTAGGGGTGCTTGTACAAGACCATAAGCTGCACGACGCAATAACATAGGTGTATTTTCAGGTAAACCTAGGTGGTCAGTGATTTCTCGAACAGGTCTACACCAAATCTCATCCTCTAACTTGTCACCTTGTAAAAAGGCTCCTGAAACATCTCCTTTCTTTATCTTAAACTGTTTCCATGCTGCCAGTTGAAGAAAAAGTTGTCTCCCTGCGCGAGAGGGAGTAGGTGATGAAGTAGGTCTTTCATGATAATTGGGATCCTGATAGCCAAGAATAATTGCCCGTGCCTTTGCCTTTTTGCCGTCCTCACTTGTCTCGTCTGGCTTCCACGTCAAAAGCCATCTCATGCCGACGATATGTTTTTCCTCAGGCAATCTGTCTTTGATCAATTCAAAGCATTCAGAAGAAATAAAATTTTTCACCTCCTTCTCCTTGGCCTTGTGAAAACGCAAAGCCTCCTCTTGTGTCAGTCTGTTCTCTCTGACCTCTACCGCCTTCCGTCTCATTTGACTACACACATAGGCTTCAGGATTTCTCAAAAATTTCTTGATGCCTCTTCTTGTATCTGGTACTTCCCATTCAACGGCAAAACAAGTTCGATGTTCTTCTACAGAATAGAAAATCTCTGCCTGTAGATCTGTGTCCTCTTCGGGTGCTGCTGCCGCTGAATTGGAACTGCTTGCCTCGCCAATACGAGGTCGTTGTGGATCAGGTTGTCTTACCTCAGTGGAACGAATGGAGATACCCTCTCTCTTGATCCCTCTACCATGGTCATCTACTGTGCTTTTTCCAGTCAATCTCTGTCTTGGTACTGCCTCTTCTGGTCCCGGTGTGGCCGGATCTAGATCCATTGCTTTGTTCCACTCATCCTCTTTTGGTTTTTCATAGGAAATATCCAAAAAGGTGCGACGTTTTGGACATGTAGCTGGTGATGTAATAGTCCATGGTAAATCTAGTGGTCCCTTCAAACTTTCCAGTTGTGCCTCCAGTGATGAAGCATGTCTCAGTTGTTCCGGACATGCCTTGATCAGTCTGCCTGCTCGATGAAGCCAAATAATGCTTCCTGGTCGTAGTTCTCCGGAGGTCTCTTTCCTGGTTTCAGTTGCGATCACTCTGGCGGGTCCTAGGAACATACCATGCTTTTGAGTTGTTTTCTGAGACAGAGGTACTTGTTTGCGCCAGTAGTATACCAAATCCCCAGGAACAAAAGCTGTTTGTGAACGATAGCCCATACGTAGAGCTCTTTCAATACGTCTCTTGGCCTGTTCAGAAATGAAGCTCTTTGCTGCTGCTGTCATCACTTCTACGTTGATTCTAAAACCACCATCATCCAAAAGTTCAGGTGCAATAGGTCTCATGGTATCATCCTGGAAAAACCTTCCTTGTTCGTCAGGTGCTCGTCCTAGGGCATGTTGCATAGCTGTATAACCCTTGTATGTCTCTTGTTGGTTGCACACCCAAATACAACGACTTAAAAGTTCTTCCATAGAAATATCGGGAAAATCAGATACCATAGTGTCAAGCATACCCTTGATGGACTTGATAGCTCCTTCAACAATACCAATCTGCCAGTGCGCCTCACCTGGAATAGGAAGTAGTTCAATATCTCGTTCTCTAGTGTATGCATCAGCTGCTTCACTAGTCATAGGTCCTGCTGAATCAGTTCTGATGGCCTTTGGCATGCCAAAAATTGGAAACCAGCTCTCCTCCAAAATGGTTTTGATTCGTTCCCAGTTTGTCGTGTTCCCTGGTCCTTCAGCTGCTATTCTTGCCATTCTGAATCTACTTCCCTCATCAATGATCACAAAAAGGTGATAGTTGATCTTTGTAATGGGATGCATCCATGTAGCTCCATCAACTTGAATTCTCTCCCATTTTTGAGGTAACGTTTCCAGCGTTGCAAAACGTCTGGGATCCCTTTGTTTCCTTTTGTCACACATGTCACATGACCATTCTTTTGCCACTTCTAATACTGTCGGTGTTGCTCCTCTGTCTTTTAGAGCTTTGATCAACGACTCTTTGCTGCCATGTCCCGTATTGCGATGTATTTTGTGAAGTTGATGCAGGATCTCTTGCTTCTCCTTGTCGCTGATGTGTGCTGCGGGTCCCATGTCCACATCTTCTTCTGCTGGTTGTGCTATCTCCTGGTAATTCTTGGAGACAGTCTCAACTATCTTGGACCAAGTTTCTGAATTGGAAATAGCGTCAATCACTTTTCTGGCAAATGGAATGGTGTATCGTGCAGTGTGCGCAGTCTGTCCAGCTTCGCATTTTCCTCTGGGATGATTTTTCTGACATTTGAGATCAAGATGTGACAGGAGATCTTGATTCTGAGTTGCCACTGTCCACCCTTTGCATAAAGATAGTTTCCCATCTTTGGTTCGTAGCCCCACTGTGCAGCCGCTACATGACACCTTTTTCATGTTCATTTCATGCAGAAAGTCTTGGATCTCCTGTAATTTCCAGGCCTCCGACCTTGTGGAGAATTCCCAGTGTACCTCTATTTTCAGCTTTTTGGCTATCCTAGCCACTTCCATTGCCCCCAAATATTGTTGAAGTGCTCTGTTTCTTTTTCCTTGTAATCTTTCACATTGTTCATCACTTCGCTGGTTGAGTCTTTGGAGGGGGCAAAATGGTCCGCACTCGCATGAAATCCAGAGGTGTGCTGGGCGAAATCTCCTAATGAGACTTATAGCATGCTTCACCCCTTCCTCTGTCTCCAAGTCTGCACCATTCCATTCACTAGCTCTGATTGCTGAGCCTGCTCCAAACCGTTTTTCTACTTCACTACTCAAAACACTATCTGGAAAACATGCAAGTTCCATCAACAGAGGACCGCCATGGTGAACAAGACTATGCCACTCCCGGCTCAGAGGATTTCGTTGGTGATGCCATGTTTTTGCTAGCATCAGGGCTGTCTCATCAGGCAGAGGTGCTTCTCCGTCATATCCTGTATCTACTGGTTCTCCTTGCGGTTCTTGTGACGGTTCTGGGTATGGTCGAATTCTGCCTTCTCCTTCTCCAACTCCTTTTCTTTCTCCTGCACCTCCAGCATTTTCTGGTTGAGGATCATTCGCATCTTCTCCAACTCTGCCTTCTCTTCCATGTGTGGTGACTCGCTGATCAAGGAAAAACTGCCCTGGCTCTTGGTGTCCATCTCTGGGGACATTGGGGTTGTCATCTTCCCTTTCACCTTGTTCTTGGCACGTTGCTGGGCATGCCACCTCACCAGTCTCACCAGTCTCCATCCAGGGTCGTCTGACTCCTGAACCTCCTTGGTGGCCCAAGTAAGGTAAGAGGGGTGCTGGTCCACAATCTGTGCATAGGTGAGGTTGCCGTGTTTGCCAAACCCCACATACTCTGTCTCTGTCGGTTCGAATCGCTGAGTGATCTCCTTTTCCCCAAAGTTCATCAACTGGGCAATTGTCATATTGGTGCTTGGATGGACTCCCTGGTCTGCCAAGAACTCCAGAAGATTGCCCTTTTTGCGGCTGGCCTTCTTGAGTTGTTTCATCTGGTATTCCAAGGTGTCCACTTCCATCATGCTGGACGTCACTTTCACGTCTTCCCAGTGTGCTCGAAGTTGTGCAAGTGTCCAGGTCCGACCGCTCGATACATGTCCACCCATCCTTGATGAGTCGTAGGCAAAGGCATGATGGCTAGGAAGGAGCGGTGTTTGTCCTGGAACTAAGTCTAACTTCTGAGCTTGGTGCACCTTCACGTTCGGCTTTTTCTCTGTGTGTGTTGTGTATGGCTCAAGATCAAGTTGTTTCTCAAAAACGTTACTACCACCACAAAAATCACTCTCAAAAACATCTTTCTCTTTGGAAATATCTTGACCTGTGTGTTCCTCACAAAATAAACAAAAAGTTCCCCTACGAGATTGCAGCTCACACTGATGGCAAACGGAAAACGCTTCTGTACAACACAAAATTGGCTCTTGGCTCCCCTGACCCTTTTTACAGTCCATGTTGCCAGGGGAGAGTTGTCCCTATTCCGCTTCTAAGCCACAAAACGGTGTCACCCTTTTGGTTCCACCTGTCAGCAAATTTCCGGTCAGAGGCATCAGTAGGTGTCCATTTGGAGCTTGGGTCAAAGGCACCACCATGGTCGGGTCCACCTTAGAGTAGATCACCTTGTTGCTGGCAAAGTCGATGGTAGCACCAAGTGAGGCCAATGCCTTCCTTGACACTAAGACTGGCTGTTGGGGTGCATCATGAATGTGCACCTCCATAGCTCCCTTTTTGGCTCCTGCATCTACTGACATTTGCACAGTAGATAGACATTCCTTTCTGGCCCCATTCCCGAACTTGAACACCGGCTTTCTGTCAAAGTCCACCTCCATGCGGCTCGTGCCCTTCTCGGAGAGGTTGTGTTTCATGATGTGTTCCATCGCATCTACTGATCCTAAGGATGCAGTCGCCCCAGAGTCAATGACTCCCATACATTGGCTCACCACATCATTCACCCCCCCTCCTTGTAGGTCTCCTTCTCCCTGAAACGCATGCTGTGTTGTCTCTTCGGCACCAAAGACTATCTCTGCTGCCTCTTCTGTGACCTGTGCCTGCTTGGTCTGGTTGAGAGGGCACTTGTCCTTGAAGTGTGGGCCTCCACAGCGGAAACACTGGACATTGCCTTTGCTTCCCTTGCCACCTCCGGTGTTCTGTTTCTCATAGGGTTTCTCTGGGTAAAACCTCCTACCCAGCTTGATTTGACGCTGTTTCCAGCGTGCCTCTTGAAGCGTCGCTTTCTGGGCCCGGATGGCCGTCATGGCTGATTGGATCTTCTCCTCCTCCGTGA